ATATCTATATATAATATTTCAATAATGTTTATAAACTTAATAATTCTTTGAATAATAAGATTTAATTTTATAAAACAACTATAGTAAAATCAGAAATATATTTAAAATTTAAAACATAAATCGCATGTGTGGTTTTTTTTATGAAAATTTTAAAATTTATACAATTTTTTCCTCGTTTGGTGGAGTATACAGAGAAACTAGTGCACATAAGATCAAAAATGTTAAATAATAAGAGAAGAAGGAAAAGGCATCGTCGATATCACTAGTAGACAATACAACAATTTAAACAGAGAATAACTCCATATATCCTCTAAAATTCATTCCCACTATCCTCTCTCTTTTCTCATTACTCTTTTATCATTATACTTCCCAAATTAACCTTTCATTTATTTTTTTCAATTAAATAAATCAACCATAATTTATCTACCACCATAGTCTACATATTAACCTAAACCAATAAGATTCAGGCTGGCCCACACTTCATTTTTCCTCTTTCCTCTCATCTACGTAGAGTTTGTCTTCCTCAGTCTCCATTGATGATTTTGAAGCTTGGAGAACATGTTGTTTTTCATGAAATATTTTGTGAAATATCATTTAAATGTTATATATATTGTGGGTAACGTTAAAAAGTAAGAGTTGATGAAAATTTTGAGAGAGTGAAAACTATTTTCAAAATTGTATATAAGGATTTCGGGTACATTTTATGCCCCTTTTTATGAAATTTTTACTAGACTACTATTTAAAAGAAGTGTATATCTTGTCTAGTGTAGGATTTTGAAATATTAAAAAGATTTTGAAAACTACGTTTATGGATTTGGGGTTTAATTTATGGATGTATTTGATGATTTTTGTGTGTAATTTCATCTAGATGAATTATATATCATAGGTAGTATAAAATCCGAACAAAATCGTCCTAAAATTGATTAGTTAGTGCAAGAATATTTTTTGGGTATTACTAAGAGAACTATTTTACTAAGGAAAAAATAGTTTTAGTATATATGAGGATAGTACGTATGATTAGTATATATAACCCATATATATTCTGTTATAGACTATTTATATAGTAAATATGTCTATTTAAGACTATTTTTGATGATTATTTTCAATACTATAAGAAAACTTAGTTTCCCAAAAAACTTTTAACTTTTATTGTTAGTGTATGAATGGGTAGACTATAGTAAGAGAGAATCTAAGAAAATACATACTCCTGACAATTTTTTTTGCTGCGAATGTCTTCTTTAAACATAATCATAGTGTAAAACCATTGGTTTACTACAAAAAATTCTCTTTTGTCATGGTTTAACTAGATAAACGTAAAAATTATCAAAATATTACTATGTGTAAGATAGTACTACTACATCCTTGAAGATTACTGGGTTGTATTGTGGGTAATAGGATTACTGAGATTATTCGGTTTATTGTGTGTTATCAAATTATTAGGATTACTGGGTTTATTGTGTGTAATTCAGATTACTTGGATTACTGGAACTATTATATGAAATTTGGATTAATAAATTGATTTTAATCTAAAACTAGAAAACAAAATAAAATGAAGAAATTTTAATTATACCACAAATTTGGTATCAATTTTTTTAATTTACCATTAATGAATGGCTATTTTTGTAAATACCCTAAATTTGTGATAAAATAACACTAAGTTAATTTTTAAAATATTTATAGAATATTTATAAACTCTATCCCAACTCCTTAATACTAAGCCTTAAACAATAATCACTAAAATCGAAATCCAAATGTGAATATATTTTTTGATTGGTGATATTTTCGAAAAGTGATACTTAATTTGTGGTATTTCTAACAATTTCTCTGAAAAATAGATATATGAATCTTATTTTCTAAAGAAAAAATACTTCTGTAAGAATATTTTTTTTGTTATTTTTTTCATTTAATTTTTATAACTACACTAGATACATCTATATCAAAAATAATTTACAGACTAAATTCTACATTAAAATTTCTATAGTTATAGTCTCCAAAAAAATGACGTTAGGTAAACTTAAGAATAATAATTAATTAGGTTGTATCATAAAGGGCAGATATTATAAGAGTATTTGTTTAAACAAACATATGAACGATATATACTTCTAATTAATATGACAATTTTAGAGAAACTGTTCGTCAACATGCAACTTTAACCGAACTCCAAAAACAAAACCAAATGCGTACTGCAATTTACTTCCTAGTTAACACATTTTGTAATTATAATACATAAGAAAAAATTTATCATTGTGCTGCCACGATTTGTAGATGTATATAAATATAGTCTGGATGATACATGTAGTCAAATTTTATTTATTAAAACAGAAATCATAATCTTGTTTTATGTGTGATTTTTTTTTTAAAAAAATGAACCATCACTAGAAAATCATTAATTTACAAAAATTTCATCTATTTCCTATCATTAAGAACAAAATATATTTCCTTGGATTTAATAACATCCCGTTCTCCTACACCAGCGGATCTAATTTTAATAAATCATCCATCCTTAATTAAAATCTAACCAAATCGGTCTACTCTAAAATAGAAATGATCAACCATATATTTTAATGCAGTAAACAACTATAAATATATATCACGGACTAAGTGCTTGAATATCATTACTAATACTAGGAATATGAGTTAAATGATTGCATTGAATAAACAAAAAAAATACTTACTCTAATAAACAAGAGGCTCCTACCAACAATAGCTATTATGTTTAAATATTTACAGGAAAATAAATATAAAAATGTAAATGAATATATAAATACTATATGAGTATATTTTTGTTTATTTTACAGTTTTGCTAAAAATTACAATTTCTTCAGAGATGAAAATAAATTTTCATTTTTATTAATTTGTGTAATAATCAAACAAAACTCTACTAATATATATATATATATATATATATATATATATATATATATATATATATATATATATATATATATATATAATAAGAAGTTACAGCTACAAGTACAACTGATGGTTTGAAACAATTAACTGGATAACCAACAAGTAAACTACAGCACTATTGTGTTTGAAAAAGTGATATACACATTTGAAAAAGTGATATACACATTTGAAAAAGTGATATACACATTTGAAAAATATGGTATATACCTAGTGTTTACATAATGACTAAAAGCAATTTTCTTTACATTGAAAATAAACACCCGCGCGGTTACGTAAATCAAAATCTAGTTAAGTTTTAAAACTATTCATATCACGTATTACTTTAAATTTCTGGATGTGTACATATACATGATATTTGTCAAATTTAGGCATATCCATTTGTTTGCCAAGTTCATATTTCTTTTTATAAAAATGTTGAATAGTTAATCAAATTTAAAGAGAAATTTCATAAACTCTTTCTTTCTTAGTATCATTTTTTTCTATATTTTAACCATATTTACTTTTGGTTTACAGAATTAAATAGACGTTTATAATCCTAGGATTAATTAAATCTAAACTTAAGATGTAGATTTGAAGGATAGAATTTTGGAGGATAGGATTTAGAAATTTAATAAATTATAAATAAAATTTAAAAAAAAATAAAAAATAAAAAATAGTTTCAAACAAACAAATTAGAAAAGAAATTTTGAAAGAAAATAGAAAAATTCAAAAAAAAACTCAGACATATTATAAAAATCCGAATTTGAAAGTATAAAAATATTAATATTTTTTATTTATTTAAATATAACTTATATTCATAAATATAGGGTATAAAGATCTTTTGTAGTTTTGATGAAATCTCATACTTAGTATTTTTTAAAATGTATATTTAAAAAGGATAAACATGAATAGTACTAAATGGAAGATATTTAAACCTCAAAGCTAATAGTAACTAAAACCAATCTTTTTATTTTACGTATGATTATCAAGTTTTGGTGGATGATGTATCATGGTAAATTATTATAAATACTTAGTTACCGCAACCAATAGTCAAACCGCTATATTTCAAGATTTTTTAAACTTACCTTTAAATAGTAGTCACCATTTTTATAAATAATTTAATTTTTTTATAAAAAAGAAAATTAACCCTCTTCAATTATTTAGAAATGTTTAAAATTTATTAATACAAATTTGTAAACTTAATCCCACACTCTATATATTAAACCCTAAACAAGAATCATTAACCCTAAACTCAAATGTTTTATTTTTTTTTTGGAAAAATCCCTAAACTTAAATGTTTGTATAAATTTTTAATTTAGTATATTTTTGAAAACTAGTATCTTACTTAGTGTATTTCAAAAAAAAAAAAAGAATTGATATGTTCTAACCTAAGCAAGATTACAACCAAGGGTAAAGAAGTTTATTTTGGGTGAATATTAACAAAGTTAAAGTTTAATAAGAAAAGTTTTTTTTTTTGCTATAAATTGGAAGTTTAATACGAAAAAGTTAAGAAATTACGAAATAAATTTTGTTCGGTAAAATGAAAAGAAAATTTTAGAGCAGATAACAAACAGTGTTTTATGGTCAACATATAATCCACCCAACGTTGATTTTTGTTTTGTCGTATATCATCGTAGACGTTGATTTTCTACAAAATGTACGTGTGGGACTCACTATAATGCACTTCGTGCGTCTGCCCAGCGACTTTCTTTTACTCGGACCACATATCTCGCCATCACACCTTACCTTCATTGTATATTATTTTAAATATATTTTTGCAGTCGCTAGAAAAATCATGCTACCATTCATTCTCACATGCAATATAATGTACAACATACTTTTGACTTTTGTGCCTGCAACCAAAAAAATCTTCTCTCTCTCACACATCTCTTCCTTCCGGGATGCTTACCAAATGCTTTTGAATTCTCGCACATGCCTTTTGACAAATGCAGTATAAATACTCAAAACCATAAGGCAGTAATGCTCAGGCTCATCAACAACATTTGATCATATAGCTCAGAAGCATTTGATCACCAAAATCCCTCTCGATCGTACTCACAATACAAACTTTAAACTTTTCACCAGCAATCAAAACACATCACCTGAAGATGGGAAGAGCGCCATGCTGCGAGAAGATGGGGTTGAAGAGAGGTCCATGGATGCCTGATGAAGATCTAACCTTGATCTCTTTCATTCACAAACATGGCCATAGTAACTGGCGAGCCCTCCCTAAGCAAGCTGGTATGAACAAATTAAAAGCTATACATTTATACATATATAAATGAAGTCCAATTTATATATATATATATTTGTGGAGTCCAGTTTCCTAAATATCATTATAAAATATCTTAACATTGATGATAAAAACTAATTACAGGACTTTTGAGATGTGGAAAAAGCTGTAGACTTAGGTGGATGAACTATTTAAAACCTGACATTAAAAGAGGCAATTTCACCAAAGAAGAGGAGGATGCTATCATTAGCTTCCACCAAATCCTTGGCAACAGGTAATTACTTTACACACTTCTGCTTTTACATATAAGTTTTATATACCTATGCCTATATATACGTTATACGACATCAAAAATACATACAGCAAGCATCATCAAAAGAAAGATGACTTGGTCTACTATTATACAAAAGTTAAGTATATAATTATCCGCTCTTTTGAAATATTTGTATTAAAGTTCTTTTTTCGTGGTATTGTCTCTAGATGGTCAGTAATTGCAGCAAAATTGCCAGGAAGAACGGATAATGAGATCAAGAACGTATGGCACACTCACCTGAAGAAAAGACTCAAAGATTACCAACCCGCTAAACCTAAGAGCAGCAATAAGAAGAAGGGTACTAAACCTAAATATCAATCCTTACCGGCGAAACTGAACAGTACTAGAAGTGAATCAGAGCTCGGAAATTCATCAAAACCTTCTTTTGAAAGCTTATTCTTGGCATCACCTTCGACAAGTGACGAGGTTTCTTCGGTGACACTCATGAGCCTCGAAGGCCATAACAACGAGGCTAAGATGGATAATAAATTGGGAGACATCAGTACTGCAGACCAAGATTGTTGTTCTTTAGATATCGACGAGAGCTTCTGGAACGAGGCGCTATATAGCCAAGATGAACATAATAACGCATTGAATCTTGAAATGGCTGGTTTTGATGATGAGACACAACAAGAGTTTCAGCAGTTAGACTCCGTTGGAAATGAGATGGTTTTCGACAGTGCGATGGACTTCTGGTTCGATGTATTCGCGAGAACTGGAGGGGAGCAAGAACTATTAGCTGGGCTATAATAAATTAACATGTTTGAAGAGTAAAGTCAAATGGTACAAATAATAATGGCTAAGAAAAGTCTTAACTTTTGATTAAAACTAGCTAGTTCTCCAAGATTGAGTCGTTAGCGACTTCGAGTAGTAAACAATGACGAGTGATTAACTATAACGTAGATTACCTTGTTGATGAAATAAATAACCGACAAACATTGGATGCCATGACAATGGGAAATCGGCCAATTCTTACCTCAACAGACAGTTGCGGTTCCAATCAGGACATCAACTCGGATCATGTGCTAAACATAAATCAACATAGAATATATTAAAATTTCATACATCAACTAACAAAATTTGGCTTTTACATACATTGACCAATAGTCCGTTAGTTAAATATAACGGAATCTGAACTGTTATATATTGATTACGTGTCATTATAAAATATTACCTGACATTTTATATTTTAAATAATTAATAATAATAAAAAAAATGTTTGAGTAGGGGAGACTCAAACCCGAGCCTAATGGATATTAGATCAGATCCATTAGCTATTATGCCAAACATAGTTTATTGAATATAGTCTCTATTGTTTACTATTATACGCATTTTGTCAAATGTTTCCATCCTTTGCTTTCCAATGCTGCCTCGTCATCCAAATAAATTCAAAATAAAATAATTTTATTTAATAGTTTTAAAATTTGAACTTTTTTAATTTATCTAATCATTATTTTTTTTTTTAAAAAAATTCTTTTTAAATCTATTTTAAATTTTATTTTGAATTTTAAATATTGTTTTTTAAATACAATAATAATCAGTAAGTTTATTACACACGATTATTTATAGTTTATATACTTTGTAGAACTTTAAAAGATTATAACAAGGAATATGAACATATTTAGATGATGAAAAAATTCTGATTATGTTTTTTAGTTTAGACAATGACAACATACACATGAAGATGGAAATATCAAAAAAAAAAAAAGAGAGAAGGAAATATCTGAATAAAATACTTTAGAAATAAATTTTAAATAGATAATACAATTCATAATCTGGTGTAATCAGAATCCCTATATCATCTAAATATGTTCATATTCCTTGTTATGAGTTTTTAATTATTTAGAATTAGTTCCACAAAGTATATAATAAGTAATTATGTGTATTTATCTTAGTGATTATCATTCTGTTTACAAAATAATATTAAAAATTAAATATAAAATTTTAAAATAATTTCAAAAAGCACTTTTGAATTTTAAAGAAATAAAAAAATAAAAAAAATAATTTGAATATAATTTGATTAAAAAATTAGAATAAAGTTTTAATTGGAAAAGATATAATTCAAACTAGTAAAAAAATTTTTTTTTTTATTATCTATAAAAAAGGATAGAGAGACCATTTGATTATTTAATTCATTTGGATGATGAGACAGAAATATGAAAAAGATGAGAATATTTGTTAGTATAATAGGCAACAATAGAGAATACATTCAATAAACTAAGTTTGGTACAATGACTAATGGATCTGATGTATCAGGGTCTAGTCCCAGGTTTGAGTGTACCCAACCTCATTTCAAAAATTTTATTTACTAATTATTTATTGTTTAAAATATAAAATGTCACGTATACCGACACGTAATCAATATGTAACGGATATCTCAGATTCAGTTATATTTGACTAACGGATTATTGGCCAATGTATGTAAAAATTGAATTTTGTTAGTTGATGTATGAAATTTGAATATATTATATGTTGATGTATGTTTTAACACATGATCCGAGTTGATGTACTGATTGGGACCATGATTTTCTGTTGAGGTATGAATTGGTCGATTTCCAGCCATCCAACAGCATCGATTAAAATGTATTATTAGAGTACATTAGTATAATACTATTCGGTTTTCTAAATTGGTTTCAAGTTCAACAATGGTGGAAATGAAAAGTTCCTAATTAACTAGAAAATTATAAGAGAAAGTAGCTTAATATATAGTCATACGTAACTGTAATCAAAATCTCATACACATAAAATTAATGATTTACTATTGAACACATTTATTTGTCTAAATACAAGAAACCCATGAAAATATATACAAACGAAAGAAATAAAGAACTCAAAGTGAGTTATGATTAAGAAAAAATATGGAAAATAATTTTGAGCCTACGAGGGATAAAATGTACCACACAAAGAACACGATGTGGGCGGATAAAGAAGCAACTTTTTTTTTTTTTTTTTTTTTTTTTTTTTTTTTTTTTNAAAAAAAAAAAAATTTTTTTTTTTTTTTTTTTTTTTTTTTTTTTTTTTTAAACACGGATAAAGAAGCAACTAATCATGTTTTTTGAATGCTTTATTGACGTCAAACATGGACACTTTCAACAAATCTGAACAGATTTCCTAGGCTTTCTGTTTTCGCTAATATAGATTATTTGTTTTGGCCAATTTCTACACCCATGGAGGATCACCAGTTTCTTTGGATCTTATGGTATATACGGAAAAAACGAAATGATAAGTTATTTAGTAACATTGACAGAGATACTCGTGATACACTAATTACACTATGGAATCAAGTACTAACTGCATCATTCGAGAATTGGACACAACCAAACACATGGTGATGCATAGAGACATATATCAATGGACTGAGGGAAATGGTGCTACGTTGATGGCTCATGGAAGTACATGGAAATATCTTGAGATAAGGATGGTATAATACGCTAAAAGGTTTCAAGGGTCTGATGGAGGCTCATAATACAAGAAATTTGTAATATTTCATTTTGAGTAAAATACTTATTTTCAAAATTGTATATTTGATCAATAAATGTGGGGAAAATATGGTTTTGAACTTTTTTGGTTAATCAATTAATGCATTATCTTAGAAAAATATTTGGAATATTTGGTAAAATATTTTATATTTTCTCAACAGATTTTATTGTAATTAAAAAACGTTAATCTTCTCTATTAAAAGAGAAGTACCATTTACATCTACTACAAAAAGTCACGTTGGACCATTTCATTAATATGATATATTTGATTATTTATACTAATCAATCAAATATATATAATTGGAGGAATATTTTAATAATTAATAAGATATTAGTAATAAATTTGTTGAGAAAATATCTAACAAGATCTTACTAAGAAGTTTAAATATTTTTATAAAATATGCATTATTTAATTTCGTGATTAATATATATAAATNATAATTAATAAGATATTAGTAATAAATTTGTTGAGAAAATATCTAACAAGATCTTACTAAGAAGTTTAAATATTTTTATAAAATATGCATTATTTAATTTCGTGATTAATATATATAAATATCTATATTACTGTTAATTAAAATAAAAATTGTTATATTTTATAATTTAGTTATATTCTATATTATATTAAAATAAAATACTATGTGAAATGAATATAAAATATATTAAATTGGTAAAAGGAAAATATTTTGTTTTAAAAATTTTCTTTTATTCAAATAAATAAATAAATATAACTCCCTTTTAAAACATATTAAAGTTTTTAAATCATAGAACATTTTTTTTACAAAAAAATGTTAACATATATTTTTGTAACTCACAACAAATACATTATATAATAAATTATATATAAATATTTATTTTTTATTTTAAAACTTACAACAATATGTTATATAAAAATAATTAAAATTATACAATTATACAATATATAACAATAGAATATAAATCATATATATTTGAAAAGTTTTGTTATATTTTTATAAAATGAAAAAATACCCGCACGGATGTGCGGGTTCAAAATCTAGTTTGTAGTTAAAATAGAGTTATCATTAATATCGTTTGAATTATAAAAAAAAATTGATATTTAATTTTGTAAATAACACATGAACTAAAAATTAGTTATATACTACTATATTTTGTATATAAGTAGTTTTATATAATATATTGTTATGATATCAAAATAAATAAAAATAAAACATATAATTGTAGATATAAAAGTTTAAAATATACTAACCATTTTTTGTATAAAAATATATAATTTATAAATTTTAACTCTTTTTAACGGAGAATGCTCATTTATTTATTTAAATGAAATTATTATTGAAGTAAAATAGGTTAAGTTACCGATTATATATAATTTTGTTTTGTTTAATTCATATAGTATTCTTATTTTAGTATAATATAGACTATAGTTATGGAATTTATAAAAATAGCATAGTATTTTTTTTATTTCTGTTTTATAAATTTTTTTAATTAATATTAATGAATAATAATACTATATTAGTAATTACAAAATTAGTTATTGCATTATTGTATAAAAATATAAAAAATAATAAGATTTTATTCGATTTTTTCTTAAGAAATTTTTTATAAATAAATAAATTTAAATCTGTTTTCTAAATATATTTTATATATTTAATTGATTAATATAAATAATTAAGTATATTAAATGGTCCTATTAATACATTAGATAAAATTAAGTTAAATTAATAGAGTAGATGTGCGTGAAAGAAGATCACGTTACTGAAAAAAAAGTCTATCATCTGAACATTACTATGATGAAAGATGGACAAAATATGAAATAATTATATTTGGTATGTTGCAGTTTATGATCTGAAGAGAAGCAAAGACAAATCATATACTTTTTTTTTTTTGAACTGGACAATCATATACTTTTACCAAAAAAAAAGACAACATTTACGAACATGAGGTCCAATTAGAGTTATTGTATTCCCTTTCCGCAAGGGACGTGGACGGCGAGGGTTGTCCTCAAGACCCTGGTAGAAGACGATGAGAACATGTAAGAGGAGCCAACCATTCGCTGAGGTACACCATGAGAGCCGTCATTTGAGCTAAAGAAACAGAGGTCCTCGGTGGTGTGCCTCACAAGTCACAACCACCCTTCACTCAGAGAGAGGAGGAGCTCTACGCAAACCATGGAAACTAACCCTTAGAATAGACCAACTGGAGTGAGACGACGGAGCAGAGGCCTGGACAGCAGCGACGCGTCGAAGCTTTTGGCGGATCTCGGATCTGATCCAGATCCGAGCGCAATCGTCGACTAAGAGTAGATCCATAGCCGGTCCTGAGATTTTGGGGGCATGTGGTAATTCTTATGTAAAATAAAATTTGGAGACCTATACTCATGTAATTTTTTTCAAAAATTTTGGAAGCCTGGAGCTAATGTTTCACTAGGCATGCTCCAGGGCCGGCTCTGAGTAGATCCAGGGCCATCACTGACCAGTCTCGCCTCGCTGGTGGTCCAGAGAAAGCAAATCATATATACAATACAGTATTTGTAACTCTAAAGTTAATTTGTAGAAGCCAGTGAATGTACAGAAGGTCATAGTGGCGATGGAAACGTTTCTCTTGAGAAGGAATGGCTCATCCAAGTACTGATCGTGCTGCAATATCTTATCTTAGAGTAGATGATTGATAGATAGTTTAACAGACAATAGTACTTCCACTCTCTATGCTGAACTATGGTTTTGTTTTGACATAGAGCATGAATGAACCTTTTATCCACTGGTTCGGAATGGGCTAAGTAAGCAAGCCTAACAAGCCGACCTATTAAGCTGGCTAAGTTCAGTTTTTAGGATTTTTTTTGTTGTTTTAACTTTTAACCCATTACTCTTGTTGTTTAGGAACTTTAACAATTTCGTATTTGCATTATTAGATACTTAGTTAGGTGCAAATAAGTTAAATTGTCTTTCTTGTGTCAATTTTCAAAATAGGAAACCGATATATATATATTGGAAAATTCGGTCTTTCTTATGTAAACCAAAAAAACAAAAAAACTCTTCCTAGTATCTCTCTCTGTCTCTGTCTTCTCCCGTCATTCTTCAGCTCTCGATCTCATATAGTAATATTAGAGTTTTCCTTTTCATCTGCGCAGTTACTTAATCACAAGTCTCTATGCAGTTGACAAGCCTTCCGAATGATTTGATAGAGCATATACTCTCTAAGGTTCCGGATACACCTTTGGCACGATTCCGAACAACATCAAAACGATGGAACGTTATGTTGAGTTCTGAGAGCTTTGTTAAGAAACATTCTGCGAATGCACCAAAGGAGGAGCCTCTTTGTATCACGTTGATTAACTCTAGGGTTCACTTAGTAAGAATCAATCTCCATGAACCATCTGTTAAGGTTGCAACTCATCCATTCTACCTTAAAGATCCACTTTCCAAGTCATCAGAAGTTGATATACGTCACGTGTTTCACTGCGACGGCTTATTGCTATGCAGCACAGAGGACGATAGACTCGTGGTTCCGTATTCAGGTGAAACCAAGTGGATTAAGCCCAGAGACAGATACAATGATTCCGACTACTTTGCTCTTGGTTACGACAACAAATCCTCATGCAAGCAGTACAAAATCTTGAGGGTTGATCGTCAATATATAATACCAATCAAAAATGTCTACGTGGTCTATGACTTCACCTCTGATTCCTGGAGAGTTCTTGGTACGGCTACTGGTTGGTATATACCAGCTTATCGCCGTGGCATATCTGTGAAGGGAAATACATATTGGGTTGCTACGCTAACAGTGTTGCCAGAAACTGAAATTATACTAAGTTTTGATTTTTCAAAAGAGATGTTTCAAAGTCTGCCTCTTCCTGATCCTTTTTCAGGACTTATATATGCTTTATCAGTGGTTAAAGAAGAGCTAACTTTGTCTGCTAAGTTCTGTCATTTTTTTAATGGGTGAGGATGAAACTTCATGTGAACTACAAGTATGGGTGACAACTAGTACCGGAGCATGGAACAAGTCTCTAGCAGTTATAGGCATGAACGCGAGTTATGAAAATATGCATGGCGGTATGCTTTCTAGAGCGATAAGTTTCTTGGCAGACGAGGAGAACAAAGTTATAATGAGTTTTAGCCTCAAGAACGTCTTACATATTCTGCGAGAAGATAAACTCATATTGGAGGAACATCTTGGTGGCGGTTCTACATCCATATCATCTCCCGCAGTTCTTATGAATTATCGTCCAAGTTTGGCTCGAATCGGACAAGGTACATTTCTTAGGGGGGGCGCAAAAGGAAAGCGGAAAGCATGTGACTTGTAATTTATGCGTTATTTATCTGATAATCCCAGTTTCTTTTTGCTTGTTTTCTCTTAGCTACTTGCATACATTTTTTCTGGTTTAACTAGGGTTTTACAACCTTTTTTCATCAACTTGGTCTATGTTGTTTGGTATTTCCAATGACTTGTCAAGTTTATGAGTTCCATATATATCTACAACCATCTTTCTGTTACTTTATGTGAATCATGTTGATACTTGACCACGAGCGGCAACAATAAGCACAGAACATTAGGCACAGTTGTTCGTGTTTGTGGTGTTAATTAGTGTATCACCATTGATCCCGCTCACACGCATATTGCAGATAAGGAAAACATATCACCACTATTGTATTTTTTTTTTTTTGAAAAATAGATTATGTTTAACTCATATCACCACTATTGTTTTATATAGACAAGGTGGATTTCTTTTAATGTTTTTTTTTTTTGAGCTAGACGGTTATACTATGACTTTTTTTTGCAACTGAGTAGACGGCTATACTACTTTTTTTTGTTCCATATAATCTCTCAGGTTTGGAAGTATACATAAAATAAAGGCGGGTAATGAGGGGAAGATCAGAGGGAGGGAAGAAGAAGCCAGTGATTGTTCTGGTCTGTGTTGTTTTTGTATACCTTTTAGTTGGCTCCTCTAATCATGCTATTGAGTACGGGAGGAAACTTGGTTTTGGTACTACTAGTGATAATAATAATAATGATGACAACACCAAGAAAGACGACACTTCTTCTACCTCCTCCTTTTATGTCGATGATGATGCCAACGGTTTCACTCCAAGAAGCTTCCCTGTCGGTTCTTACACCCCTTTTCCCAGTATTTTTTTTTATGATTAGACCAGTGTGGTTTAATTATTGTTTTTCTCTTACAAAAGGTGTGTGATGATCGGCACTCGGAGCTTATCCCTTGCTTAGACAGGAATCTCATTTACCAAATGAGACTAAAGCTTGATTTGGCTTTGATGGAGCATCATGAACGCCACTGTCCTCCTAACTGCTTGATTCCTCCTCCTCCAGGTTATAAGGTCAGTTTTTTCCTTTACATCTGTTAGGTATAGGGCCTGATCGTTTATGTGTCGCGCGACCTGTGACTAAGACTATGTTCGTTTGCATGTCGCATGCCCTACCACTAAAATCATGTTCGTTTACATGTCGCGCGTGCAACAGAAAAAACTTTATTTTGTGGTCGCACGAACAAGTTTGTGTGTGCATATCTGTTTAGTATAGTCAAGTCTCTTGACATGTTTTAATATGTGTAGGTTCCGATCAAGTGGCCGAAAAGCAGAGACGAAGTTTGGAAAGTGAACATTCCTCATATTCACCTTGCCCATGAGAAACCTGATCAAAACTGGATGGTTGTCAAAGGAGACAAAATCAATTTCCCTTGTGGAGGCACACATTTTCATTATGGTGCTGATAAGTATATTGCATCCATGGCTAATGTAAGCCACTGTGACTAGATCTTATATGCACTTCTTCAACTTACTGATGCTATTCTTGATTTTGTTTTTTTTTTTTTTTTGCAGATGCTTAACTTTCCGAACAACGTTTTGAACAATGGGGGAAGACTGAGGACGTTTCTAGATGTAGGGTGTGGTGTTGCAAGTTTTGGTGGTTATCTTCTTGCATCAGATATTATTACCATGTCCTTGGCACCAAATGATGAGCATCAGAACCAAATCCAGTTTGCTCTTGAGAGAGGGATTCCTGCCTACCTCGGCGTTCTAGGGACAAAGAGGCTCCCATACCCAAGCAGATCCTTTGAACTTGCACATTGTTCACGTTGCAGAATCGATTGGCTTCAAAGAGATGGTATCCTTCTTCTTGAGCTAGACAGGGTGCTGAGACCTGGTGGCTATTTTGCGTATTCATCTCCAGAGGCATATGCACAAGATGAGGAGGATCTCAGAATATGGAGAGAGATGAGTGCTCTTGTGGAGCGTATGTGTTGGACGATGGCTGCTAAAAGGAATCAAACTGTGATTTGGCAAAAACCTATGACAAACGATTGTTATATGGAAAGAGAACCTGGAACTCAGCCTCCTCTTTGCAACTCTGACAGTGACCCTGATGCTGAGTATGGTGTAAACATGGAAGCTTGCATTACTCAATACAGTGACCGTAAGTTTTCATTACTCACGCACATGTTCGTGATATAGCATATGCTCACTGAAACATTACAATTCCATTAGATGATCACAAAGCCAAGGGAAGTGGATTGTCTCCATGGCCAGCTAGATTAACCTCTCCTCCTCCCCGTCTAGTTGATTTTGGATATTCCACTGACATGTTTGAGAAGGATACGGTATTTATCCTTAAAATGGAAGCTTCAGTGATATAGAAACTGTAGTCATCTTATGTTTTTGCTTCCCCCATACAGGAAACTTGGAAGCATAGGGTAGATGCTTACTGGGATCTCTTGACTCCTGCAATTCAATCAGACAGTGTGAGGAACATAATGGACATGAAAGCAAACATGGGTTCCTTTGCTGCTGCTCTGAATGATAAAGATGTTTGGGTTATGAATGTTGTTCCTGAAGACGGGCCTAACACGCTTAAACTGATATACGACAGAGGCCTGATGGGTGCTGTTCATAGCTGGTCAGTCTCATCCTTAACCTTTGTTAAAATCAAAATGTTTATTAGTATATACATTATTCTCATATTTGACTATATTGCAGGTGTGAAGCGTTCTCAACGTACCCTAGGACATATGATTTGCTCCATGCTTGGGACATCATTTCCGATATCAAGAAGAGAGGTTGCAGTGCAGAGGATTTTCTGTTGGAGATGGATCGTATACTTCGCCCAAGTGGGTTCATACTCATAAGGGACAAACAATCTGTAGTTGATCTTATGAAGAAGTATCTCAAGGCTTTGCATTGGGAGGCAGTTGATACCAAGATTCAGACCAAGACTCGGACAATGTCATACTCATTGTCCAGAAGAAGCTCTGGTTGACAAGTGAAAGCCTCAGAGATCTGGAGTGATGATGATGCGGCCAAAAACTGCGTCCAAACATGAAGAAGGACATGCACAAGAGGTTTCTTTATTAGACGAATCTAATCAAAGAATACAACAGAAGAAAACTAGTTTTATAGCCGCAATTTAACGTTTTTCTTTTCTTTATAATCTTTATTTCTTTTACATCTTATTATTATCTTTTTCTTATTATATAAAAGAAAGTTTATTCACTCTTAGCAGAGACACTTCATTAGCCACGTCAGAAAGTCATTGCTTCAGGGGATGACATGTGTCCGCTCTCCATGATCGAGATAATTCACTTTCCTATCAATTAAAACTTTTTGATGCCTTGCAATGTAAGATAGCAAAATAACTATGTTGCAAATCTATTATGAAAATTGTTAGAAAAACTTTGACCAAATAAAAAAAGCGAAGATTGATAGAAAACTTTTTCTTTTTTCTCGTCTGATAATATTAATTCAAGACATGAGTACAAGATTTGATACATAAGCTGATTCACAGCAACAAGAACCCATGAACAGGCAACTTAAACCCATACCAAGGTTGGAGGAATATTATTTCAGTTCGATTTATGGTTAAAAATGATTAATCAAAAGAGTGAAAAATAGAAATTCATACCAGTATGGAATGAACATTGAATCTCTTTCCACATACAAGGTAAGTAATTCTAAAACTGTAAAACTAATTCCTAAATTATTGTTCATGTTGTTTCTAAATAAGTATCGATATATCATTTTTTTCTTGTTTCAAAAAAAATTTCACTTCATGTTTCCAGTACAGTTTCTTACACATAATTTTATTACCTTTTTAAGTAATCACATATGTTTTTAAATCATTTTTATTTTAATAATTGTATATTAAATGAATATATAATAGTATATTTTTCATTTTCCTAATCTGTGTAAAATATGTAAGTGACACTTATAATGATACGAATGGAGTAATTAACTGTGGAATATCTAATTAATCTGGTGGATTATACTTGAAATATAGATCTACTTAATGTGTGAGTGAGGCTAAAACGTACGAGGAAAGGTCATGTGGTGATTGCAGCGTCAGTAAACAAGAGTTTTGAATCTTTGGAAAATTAACACACCGGTTGTCAAACGGGATGGAGCCCATGGGCCGAGTAGTGGGTGTGGTTGCTTCATTAGCCGTGGGCGGTCGGGTGTTGAAAATGGTATTAGAGCTAGTTAGCCATCTTGGTACTGACCCTGAGAGACGTCTTGAGACCTGGCGTGGTGTGCAATGGGGGCGTTGCGCTTTGTGAGTGGGGGTGAACTGTAACATCCCGACTTCTAGTATATGGGGAAAGGTTTAAGAGAATTGATCTAGCTACCTATATCACCAAAGTGCATTTATTTTTCCTGTCACACATCCATTTAAAACTCCAGAGTTAAACGTGCTTGAGCTTGGATATTGGAAAGATGGGTGACCTACCGGGAAGTGATTTGCGATATCGTTCGAGTGAGGCCAAAGCACGTAGAAATGTCATGTGGTGATTCCAGGGCTAGTAAACAAGACTTTTGAGCCTTCCAAAAATTTAATGTGTCCGTCCGTCGCAGGGAATGGAGCATATGTGCTAAGAGAGCGAGCGTGGGAGACCCATTAGAAGTGGGTGGTTGAGACGTTACAAAACCACTCATAGCCTTTATGTAGAAGTTACAATAGTCTCCGAAGTTGAAACATTTTGTTGGGCAAATATTATACAGAGATACTAACATGTCACTAAAAATTTAAGGACATGTGAAATCTAATGTGTGGATTCGAAGAAGATCATGTCTTATTAAATGTCCACCAACTATTAAGATGTGGCTTGTCCAAGCTCTTTAACCCTGATGTGTTTCTTATGTTTTCGATCTTTGAGAATTTGAAGGAGACTTCCAAAAGATTTTGTCTTTAATTATTTTCCATAGTAATATGGTATATATGAAAGAATATAAAGGATAAGGTTTATAAGACAAAAGTGGAAACCCACAAGAAAGTGTGTATTGCGGAAACTGAGTGTAATTTGTAGATTGAGGTACAACTTAACGATTTAAATTTACAGAGAAAAAGCATGTGTTCTTCCCAAGCGAGCCAAAATACATAATATATGAAATGATGTTATGTGGATGGAATTTGGAGAGATTAAGACAATTTCCAGGCCAATGAAGGTTATGCAATTCAGGAGACCAAACCGACAACATTATGGGGACCATGATTATCCGACTAAATCCCTCACATTTACTTTGTAGAATGTAAAATTTTGATTTAAGTGACAGAGTGCATGAAGACTTTGCAGTTTTGAGAGATGGTGTTCGCAACAAATTATTCACAATAATGTCTATACCAACAATTCAACTTTCACTTTTTTGAAAAAATTATATAATGTAAAGAGTTTTTTTCCTAACTTTACTATCCAACATATTCCAAGAATAATGAACACCAATGACAAAAAATTGCATGAGGTGCTTGAAACCTGTTTTATGGTATGGTTTATGTTGCAATTGTTCCAGTGATTTGACTTTTTGCTTTGGTATCTAATTCAAAATAATTTAGCTACTGCTGGAAAAATTATTTTTGATGCAATTGAATTATATATGCCTTAAATCATCGATTATCAGATGTATAAACCCATTGATTATTTACTAGTAAATACTTAACTCTACTAAATTGAGTCTTGAGAATACATACTTCACAAGACTGAATCCAAAAACCTTGGATTATTAGAAATCATCTTCTTGAAGCAAAAAAAAACTTGAAGTAGCATTCCATTATACCTTAAATTAACTTTACTGTTATTCGAAGAAATCTTTAGGTTATGTTCCCTGTAAATTTGGGCTATAAAGATTATTCTAAAAGAAGTAAATAATAAAATGTAATTGCACTTGATGATTATAACATTTTATTGGTTCAGGGGGAAACTAAAAGAAGTAAATAACTAAAAGTAATTGCACTTGTTAATTAGGGCCGAACCCGCAGTCCGAACCCGCAGTCCGAACCCGCCCAATTCTATAAATTACTAGACTTAAATTTATTTTCTATAAATTACTGGACTTAAACTTATTTATATAAGCCTAAAATCTATATATTTTAATTTATTTAATTATTTAGCATTGATACTCATGTCATACACAAATATAGAATTGATGTTCATGTATTAGACGAATATAGAATTCCGATAACTATAGTGGCGTTAAAGCCTTTTTTTTTGGTTATTGATATCAAATGATACGTGTACGCAGAGAAGAGTATCTTGATACTGATTTACTTATGTACCTCCTAATTCTTCAAATCCTAATATTTTTGGCACGCCTAAATTTTTTTATTTTCTTCAACTGTTCAACACTATTTACGTGCGAGCTATCATAGTGATATAAAATTTTGATCTTACGAGGATATAGAAGCAAAACTTTATTTTGAAAAATGGTAGAAAAAGTAAGGGTAGTAAAGTAAATATAAGTGCGAGGGTAGGTAGTTGTAGCTGTAGATGTGGAAATTTATTCTAGGAGACACAATTTAAGTTTCTAATTGTGTTAAAAGACACATTAGACATTAAAGACACTTTCCCATGCTAAATTGACCAATAAACCCCTTAACTAGGGTGTATATGGGTTTGGTTACATTTTCTAACTAGACCAACTCTCTTCTTTATTAAATTTAATTCATTTTCTTGAAACCAACGAGACCAACTCCCCTCTTTTTTTAAATTAAGTTACTTTACTCTCAATCCAGAAATTGGAAAATGGAATGTGCTAAATCCTCAACTTTATGAATTTGTTTTTCATATTCTTTCTTTCTTGTATCATGATTTGAAATTTAAATCTTATATTATATGAATCAAACAAGTTAAAAAGTAGTTTATTTATAAGAGTTTATGTTGAAATATACATAGATCTCAAACAAAATAAATCTCTTTAATTATTTTTATCGATTTCACCACTTTTTATGTTGGATTTGATGTTCCAAAGAAAGGTGTGAACAAAGGAGGAATGAACATAATAGCAGTGGACGCCAAATTTTTGGAAGAGAGAGTTTTGGACGAGATAATTATGGACCAGATACTTGTGCACAAGAGAATTGTGTTAACATTTTTATATAAAGAAGCTATGCAATTGGTTGTTTGTATTTCAAGTTTTTGTACAATCAAGTGAAAGCTCAAGTACGTAATATCTTGGACTTCGTGATCTTACGAACCATGCATGAGAGCATGTTTACTGATTCAAGGATATCTGAAAACTTTCATGTCATCTATAAGACTCATGGATGAGTGATTTGTGGATGGTGGTTTATAGATGGATGTATCGTGGATGGTGATTTATAGATGGATGTATTGTGGATGGGTTTCTCGTGGATAGTGTGTCGTGGATGGTATCTCGTAAATATGTATGGGTAATTGATCGATGAATGTATCATGGAGAGTATAAATAGACTGAGAAGAAACAAGTTACTCACATTAACAATTAATAAAAAAACATGAGATTATTAGAAAATAGAGCTTTTGTGTGGAGAATATAAACATATTTTAAATCTCTATCACTTTCCACAGTTTACCCTCTCTTTTGCCATATCTCCCAAGATACCAAACTGTGACAAAAATCTTAAATTCTTCACCAGCTCTCTCAACTTTTGCAACCCATTAATTACACCTGAAAAAGCATGTTTTCTTCCAGCCACTAGATCTGCTTTCATCAAAATGATCTGATGTACACGACCAATTCACATAAACATATATATCTAACTTTTGACTTTATCATTAATTGCAAATACAAAGAAGCTGAGTTTCTTTACAGTTGCATCATTAAAACAAACATTATTCTAACTACCAAAAGTAAGGCTATTTTCGTCATAAATAGATAGCTGTCAAGCTAAAGTATGTCAAAATTACATTGTGTCTTGTAGAGCAACGTAAACTCAGAAAGTGTTCTCTTAAGTAAATATCTCATCTAGATGATCTAGACACCCAAAATTTAGTATAAAACCATGGAGAGATTGGTGTAGAATTTTTACTATAGAATTTAGTTTGTAAATATTTTGATGTATCTGTATCTAATGTATTTGTAGAAATTAAATGAAAAATATTAAAAAAGGGTTCCTACAAAAATGTTATTTTGATTTAGAAATTAAGGTTCATACAACCTTTTTGGGTTTAAATTTAAAAAAACTAATTAAACACATAATTAGTGATTTATATGGTTATAGATAGAATAAAAAATCACTAGTTACTTCCCAATCAGTCACCTTCATACAAGTTAGCAAATCAAACTTTCTTAATTTAAAAACCATACAACAAAAAAATATCTAGAAGATTAAAAATGGCTGTAGAGAATTTTATTTCTAGAAAAAAAAATAGTATTTTACAAAGGTACATCAAACAAATTTATAGCTTAAATTCTATAGCAAAAAACATAAAGTTACAGTTCATTCCAATTATCCTTGTAAATTTTTTTAAAAAAATAATTGCATGAGAGAGGCATAATCGACTTTTTTTTTTGTTTCATGTTTCACTGTAATTTCTCAAACAATTTCAGTATTTAGGTGGACGATCTTGTTAAATCTTATTAAGCTTTCCATTATAAAAAAACCCGTATCTTCCGTGTTTGCCAGTAAAAACTACTCAAAGAACCTTAATATAGGAATTACAAAACTCCATAGATACCACCTAAGAATTGAAAATCTTCCGGTTATCCGTTGACTTGAAACTTTTATATCCAATCATCATCCGCCATGTGTCTAGTAGACATATGTAGAGAAAGAAATAGACAAAAAAAGAGAGAAAAAGAGCCTTTGTGCTCAAAGAAATAGATCATACTTTTAGATTTCTTCTCCCTCGAGTTACCTCTGATCGGTCTTCAGCTAGAGATTCATAACAAAAACAAATTAAGAAACAAGAACACAACCCAAAAACTTTTGTTTTGTCCTGTATCAATTAGGAAACATATATCGTTTTAAAGCTTCTAAAAAGGTATTTTCTTTTCTTTAAATATATCATTCCTTTTCTTTGGGTGAAAATATATCATTCCTTTTTAACACGAATGATTTCTCTTTGTTCTTTTTATTTATTTATATATTCCTCTTAATTTTGCAGAAACTCATAGCTCTTTGAAATCTATATGATTCAGTTTCAGGGTTTTATCTCCACCCATAACATGTAAGTTCGTTTAATTCATTTCTTTATCTTTTTATTCTGTGATATGAATCACCGTTTTAAGCAAAAAGAAAAAAAGATATGATTCACCCGAAAACAATGTAAACCCCTCATTCTCTGCATTCACAAAACATGATGTAAAACCCTATAAGATTCCTAAGAGAAATGAAAGAAAAAACTGATTGTCTAATAATAACTCATTTATGATTTACGAAAAAGTGACTTTTGATTTTGCTTCGTGCACAAGTTAGGTTTGCAGCTCCGTGTTGAAGATGGCCTCAGCAATGAAGGGTCTATTAAAAGGGTTGAGGTACATTGCTCGTATGTTCGGTGAGTTCTATAAAACCAAATCATACATTTATAAATAATCAAGAAATAGTTCTTTTAAATGTTATAAAAATGGTTGCATGCAGGGGAAGAGAAGGAACCAGAGATACAAATTGGACAACCAACCGATGTCAAACATGTTGCTCATATAGGATGGGAAGGGCCTTCTGCTACTACCCCAAGCTGGGTACATATATATGTTTCTCTCTTAAGTTATATAAATATAATGTGTTTTATGAGATCATATCTTTTATGGGGATCTGCAGATGGATGACTATAAGTCTCCCGAGGATGAGGCAAAACGAAGTTCCAAAAAGAAACCTGCGAGTTCCGGGGAGAGACAAAAGAACAAGGGGAGGCGCAAATCATCTACAGGCACAAACAACTCACCTGCAGATTCTCCATCAAGGGTAGGAGGATCAACTAGGACATCAAGACGCAGCACGGGTAAACTGAGAGAGCAGAGCAGGGGTTCAGGGTCGGGGTCAGGTTCAGGGCTAGACGTACCTGAGCAGAATGATCAGTCTTTGGTACAGAAAAGTTCGAGGCAGAAAAAGTCGAAAGGGACAACAAAAGTAAGAGGAGGAGGCGGTGAACCTCCTCTGCCTCTTGCACCTGTAGAGTCAAAGGAAACAGATATATCCGTGCGGGCGGTTTATCCTTGTGTGGGTATAGAAAGTTCTACAGGAAGATGAGAGATGAGAAAGAAAAAGAGAGTTTTTCTTGATCGAGTTTAGACTAGAGTGGTGGTTTTATTTTTCTTCTCATAATCATAAACTTTTGTCTTTTCTCTCCCTTCTGTTGGAGATGTTTTGCATAACAAGACCAATGTTTTATCAAGTGAATGACGTCGAGAAAAGAAACCCTTATGATGATTATGAATCAGGGATGTGTACCATATGCTTTACTTAATGATTTCAGTCACTCGAAAAGCATACTTGGCAACTTTTTGTGTGTTTTCGGATCCTCTAGCTTTATGAAGAAGGCCTTTTCCGGTAAGCAAATTATAGTACATAATCAGTATGCATGCTTTAGGATTAGAAAAAAAAATTGTGTATATCCTAAAATTATTAAAGATTTTCATTTATCTAAAATATTTCATTTTATCTTTAGACAAGATGTACTTCCTGCTCGTTAGACAATACAAATTACTCACGGTCTAGAACCAACCTTTTGCATACTGTTCTTAACCAATGGAGTTTTTCATAGGTTATTTTATGCATAAACAATAAAACATACTTACGTGCATAGTTAATTACTTTCAGACTCGAAATCATGAACCCTTTGCTGTAGAAAAATGTCGATGTATTAAAAGTTATAGTGGAAATCTCTTATTGTCAAGAGTTTAAAAGTTTCTACACAAAGTTCGATGTTTGATTTTTAGAGGATGTAATTTCTTATGATTTAATAATGCAACTTATCGGGAATTTTAGAATGCTACATACATAGTCATTCATAGTTCGTCGTTTGCTGTACAGAAAGCTTTTGTAACGACCCGATTTTGGTTTCAATATTTGTTAGCTTGCTAAAGCTTATACCTCTCCTCTATAAATATCCAAACTCCAGCCTTGTTTTCTCCACCTGCACAAGAAAAAGAAAGAGTAGAGTTAGAGAGAGAGAGAAAGAGAGCAAGGAGAGAGAGAGAGAGAGCTCAAGAAGAAGAGAATGGAGAAACCTTGCCCCTGAGCCACCAGGAGTCATGGTCGCTGGAGCCACCACACGCCATAATCATGTTGAGCACACCACCACCGTTCGGAACCACCAGAAGTAGCCCGAAACCGCCTTGAGAGTAAGCTTCATCACAGCAATTTAGTAAAAAGCCGATAACTTCTAAACCGTTGGAAATCTCGAGCATGCAAGGCCAGCACCGTGTTCTACTCGTCGAGACGAACCCGTAGACCCCGAAAACACCGCGATACGACCTCAGACGAAGCCACACGCGCCCTCCAAAGTTTCACCGGGAATCACCGTCCGCCGCCGTGCTCCGCCGCCGGACCACCGCCGGACCGCCGCCGGACCGCCGTCGGACCGCCGTCGCCTCCGGTAAGCCGCCGCCGCCCTCCGCCATCGCCGCCGGTGACCGGCACCGGTGACTCGCCCGCGACTCGGCCAACTCGGCTGAGTCGACTCGGTGAGTCAACTCGGTTGACCCGGTCAACGGTTGGTTTGACTCGTTTAAATTGATTTTGGTTTGGATAGGGTAAACCGGCGGTTAAAATCAATTAGATTTCGGTTAGGGTAACCGGTTAATTAAATTGATTTAGTTTCGGTTAGTGCGAACCGGTTGGTCCAATTGAATTCGATTTCGGTTAAGGAAAACCGGATGGTTTAATTCAATTTCGATTTGGATAAAGTTTGACCAGGGTTAACTTTGACCAGGCGGGTTGACTTTTCCGTAGACTTTGACCAGGCCCGTTTCTAACCGTTCGAAAGCCGTTCTGACTCGATTTTTTTATCTGATTTCAGATTTGGAGTCTATTTGAGCATCAGGAGTTCATAGACATCACTTCTCTTCATTGCTAAGGTGAGGGCTACTCCGTTTAAACCCCGAACTAGTTTAAAACTGCTGTTATGAAAAGTCTAGTTTCGAAACATGTTCCGTCTCTATGAATCGAGTCTTGCTTGTTTATTTTTATTTTTGATTGTTAAAATGGAACTAGGATAATAGAGGATTCAACGATTGTGTGAAATGATTGACGCTGAGCATTGTTATATATATGTATATATATATATAGTTACATAGTAGGGACTATGTGATGAGGGCGGGGGTTCAGAGATGTCTGGACTAGCGACGCCGCGGGTTTTGTGCGGGGGCCCAGAGACGTCTGAGCTAGCGCCGCAGCGGGTATTGGGCGGGGGTACAGTGAGGTACCAACGACGCCGCGGGTTTGTGCGGGGGTACAAAGACGTTTGTACTAGCGACGCAGCGGGTGGGAGTGCGGGGGTACAGAGACAGACTGTACTAGCGACGCAGCGGGTATGTATATCCCTATGAGGAGATGCGCGGTGCAGAGGATAGCTATGTACTATGAGCGCATGGGTGGTAGTTGATAGTTGACTGGTGTAGTAGTATTAGTTCTAGATTTGCATTGTGTGTTCTGTGTGGTGTTCTATCACCGTGTTTGCTTCATGCTAGAGCTAGGCCTACATAGTCGTAGTGCTATGTACTGAGTCAGTGGTTTGAGGTTTAGCATCCCATACCTCACTGAGCGACTCCCCTGTTGCTCACCCCCTCCTTTCTTTCCCCCTTTCAGGTGAGACCGATGAGCAGGGATTATTCTATCGGACCGGTGCTATTGGGTTATTGGGCTTTCACGTCTTGTATCTTTCGGATTTCACAAGTTTATACTTTTGGGCTTTTATCGCTAATGGGTCTTCCCGCTATTGTAACTTTATCATTTATGTTATTATCGATATTTCAGAAATTATTTTAATTACTTGATTTTTCGACGTGAACTTTGACTTTTCAATATTTTTAATTAAGATATTATTTATTATTGTATTATTATTTATTATTATTGGTTTCAAAGTGACGTGTGTCACATTTTTTGGTATCAGAGCGTGGTTCCGTCTTGGCTCCGACCCGGGATGGCGATTCGTGGAGACTTGGGTTTTAACTCTGATTTTAGTTCGGATTTTAAATCGATTTTAAATAAGTTTCAAAATATTTTGGGATATGGGAATTTTGAAAAAGAAAACCAATAGGACCCTTCTGCTCATCTAACCCAATTGTCTCTCGATGAGTAAAGTCATCGTCATCCGTTTTCTAGCTAACAGGTTTCCAGCCGGAGGTTCAGGTTACGAATGGAAGATGTCAGAGTTTTCAGACTGCTGAGGATTTTATCAGTTTCGTCGATCGTGTTTAGAGATTATCTGCGAGTGGACATGTGTCGTTTCTGCCACCCAACTTCAAGCTATCGCTCCACGAGTTTTGTTTCTGGAGTTTGTGTGATATGAGATATAAGCCATTGGTTGGCATGTGCTATGTTGTGTATGAGTATATGGATTATTTGGAGTTATGTTTGGTTTATAAGCTCGTGGGGATCGCTTTTGAAGTAGGGGTGCGGCAGCTTGCCTTGTGTTGATATTGGAGTTTCGCTTGATGTTGTTTATCAGTTTTTGGGTTATGTTGACCGTTTCGGAGATGTGTCAGTTTGGACAGCTGACATATGACATTTGGGAGCTATTTGTATTTATCGAGTTGTATTAGTTATGGTTGGAAGAGTTGAGTTATTCGGAGACTAGTCAGAGATGGAGTTGGCCTTCTGCGATGTTATTCTTGGGATGCATTGGTTATCACGACATTGATTAGTATCATACTGTTTGTATTTCTGGAGCAGAGGAGATTTTCATAGCCGCCATTCTACATGTTGAGTAACTCTTGGATGAAAGATCAAATGGATATTTGAGACTATTTTGATGGTTAAGGACGATGGAAAGAATGAGTTGCAGGACCTTTCAGTTATAGAGTATGAGGATGTATTAGAGACCTTTGGAAGGGTCATCACCAAGCATAGGAGACGTTTTGGCGATTGAAATGGAACGAAGGACGCCACCGTATTCACGAGTTCAGTACTGATTAGTGCCAACAGGGATGGCCGAGCCTAAGAACCAGATGGAAGATTTATTAGACAAAAATTTTATTAGACTAAGAACTACACTATGGAGGCCACTAGTGTTGTTGTGGCGACAAAGAGTTGAGAGTTTCAGATTTGTTATCGAATGCAGAGAGTTGAATAAAGTAATCATCAAGAAAAAGCATCTACTTCTGCGTATTGATGAGTTGTTGGAGTAGCTGCAGGGAGGTTTATGGTTTTCGAAGGTTGAAGTAGCATCGCGTTATCACCAGATCTCCTTATCGGAGGAAGATGTGCGGAAGTTGACCTTCCGTACACGCTATGGACATTATGAGTTTTTAGTAAGAACATTTGTATTGACGAATGCACCAGCAGTATTCATGAAGCTTGTGATTATTGCGTTCTGCGAGTATTTGGGTAAGTGTGATCGTTTTCATCGAAGATATCCTAGGTTATTCTTGGAGCAGAAAAGAGCATGCAAGCATTGCGAATTGTATTAGGATAGCTGAGAGAGCATCAGATATTTGCTACGTTGAGCAAGAATTGATTCTGGTAAAGGATGGTTAGATTTATGAGACACCTGGCCTCAGAGACAAGATTTGCTATAGATCCGGAAAGGATTACCGCAGTCTCAGAGTGGTCGACACCTAAGAATGCTGCTACAGAGATCCATAACTTTGGTGAGTTAGCTACAAGGAGATTGGTCATTGACGGAGATTATCTTGGCATCAGAATACCCTAAGATTGTTGTAGCTGAGGGAAATGTACAGAAGACGGCCTTGCGCTCACATTATGGATATTATGGGATTGTAGCGGTACCATTTGTATTAACGAACTCACCTGTTAACATTCATGAAGGTTATGAATGAATTCTTCCCTGAGCACTTGGAGAAGTGTGTGGTTGTACTCATCGAGTACACATTTGATTTATTCTTGGAGTATAGAGGAGCATGTCGAGCATTTGCAGATTGTGTATTGTTGCACGAAGATCAGATTATTGCATATGGATCAAATCATTTGAGACCAACCGAGACCCACTACCCTTCTCATGGTTCAGAGTGTCTGCAGTGGAATTTGAGATAAAAAATTTGGAGATCGTGATTGTTCAGAGAGGAAGT